AATGGATTCCTTGAGGATCTGCTCCATGATTTTTCCAGGTACAGAAGTGAGGCTGATTGGTCTGTAGTTACTTGGATCCCCCTTCTTCCCTTTCTGATATATGGGCACTATGTTTGCCCTTTTCCAGGCATCCTCTCTGGATCGCTATCAGTTTTCAAACCTCATAACATTAAAAATTTCTTCCAATAAATGCCCTGTCTTGAATTCAAGTAAAAAAGGTGGGGGAAAGCTTTTATATACAGCAAAGAGATTGTATCCTTGTCTTTATTTGATTTTTTTTTCTTAAATTGCATCAAAAAATGTGGGTGCATGTTAATTTCAAGTATGCCTTACATTTGAAGGAATATGGTATTCTTTTAGTTAAATGATCTATATTGGTGGGGGTAAAGTAGGTTTATGTAACCTCTCTTTATTAGATATTAATTTCCACCACCTTCCAAGATCACTTTCCTTTCTGTAACTGTGTGCTTCAGTTAGTAGATTTGGACAATCTCTGTTTAAGACTAGCCTGCTGTACAGTGATATTATTTTCGAATGTATAAGGCAGTTTTTTTCTTGCAGTTAACGGTTGCAAAGTACCATTTGGAAAGATGCATTGCATGTTTAAATAAGCTCTCAAGTGCTTCACATTCTGGGTTCTTTTTCTGAATAGGGAACATTTGGGCTGGAAAAGCTTCACTTGGGGCAGATGACCAGATCAAGAGCCTTGGATCCTGCTTCCTTCCTCTCTATGGGTCAGGTAGCCACAGAACCATGGAACTTTGGACATTCTCCACATGAACCCACTGTCCTTTGAGGAAGCAGGTTAGGAGTTGTTACTTTATTGATGGTGTGCCTGAAGGCCCTGGGAAGGAATGAAGGCCCTATTGTACTAGGCACTACACACACACGCACTCTCTCTCTCTCTCTGTCTCTGAAGAAAATGTCACTGCTTCCAAAAAACTTGCAGTCTAAGAGTAGCTGAAGTGGATCATTGACTCAGAACGCTCCTATTATACTGTTATCACCTGACAGTTTATGACAGGCTTTGGCTTTGACTGATGGTTAGCATCAAGCACATGCTCATTCTGTGATAAATTAAGCAGGGTGTTGTATTTCCATAAGGAGGTATCTATCTTTAACATAATTCTTTTACTTAAGATTTGTTGTAATTGACAAAATAAAATCAGTGATCTTCCACGGCTAAGTAGAGCAGACAACTTCTTTTTTTGACTATTGTATCTGACCTTCACGACCAACAGTTGACAATTGCATTGCCTCTGCCATGGTTGTAACCCTTTCTGGTTTAAAGAACAAGAAGGTAACACCTGAGGTTTGATCATGCATCTTACCTTGTTACTAATGTACCTCTTGCTTTTAGTGCATGGGCACCAAGTAGTCGTTCTCGGCCAATCTATGGTAACTATTTATGCTGAGCAAGCAGTGGGTTTTGTGCCACAGTGCCAGCTTGTATTTCTGGCTATATCTCCTCTCAGAGGCAACTGCTCATCAGAAACAACATTCATGACTCATATAGTAGGACAAGGAAACTTGGCACTTGCATATTTTTCAGTTCATTACTTGATGAGAGATGACAGTAGATATACCAAGCTACTTAGTGGATATACAGGGTGTGTTTTTCAAATATTGAGCTAACAGCAACTGTCAATTTTGTTTTGTGATGCTATGATTACTAATACTGAAATTCTGGGGATTTATCAGAAGGATTAAGATTATTTCACATTTTAAGTAAATTTTATATTTATGGGAAATAAAAAAATATAAATGGAGCATTAGAGGTTTATACTCATAAAATGCAATCTCCTTTGTGCCCCTCCCACTTTTTTTTTTTATTAAAAAAATTTTTTTTTTGGTACTTCTCTCTCCAGCATGGGTTGCTCACCCTGGCATTTTTCTGTCATAGGGCCTTGTCATCACCAGCTTGGATGGCAGAAAGCTGTTTTTTATGCCATTATTATTAATGGCACTTTTTAATAGACTGGCAATTCTGGTGCTGAATTCAATACAGAACCAGAACATCTGCTATAGTGACATGGGGCTAAGTTATATTTCATTCTTATAGGCGCG